TACACGAACTACATGATGATCTTCAATTGACTCACAATCATCATTTCCTTTTATTATTTCTGCCAATTTTCCCTTCAATACACGTTTAGACTCTGCTACATCACTGCATTCGTCTCCATGTGTACCAATTGTGAGAATCTGCAATTTCTCTGGAACTAAATCTCGTAGAACTTCATGATCTTTATAGCTATCCCTGAAATGCTGCATTCCAGAAGCTATTGAAGAAATAATTTGCTTCAAAACTTCTTCGACCGTCAATCTGGATGGACTCGTATCACTGTGATCCTCACCTTCAATGTGCATCACTGCAGTGGAGCCACTAGACAACTCTTTTGAAATATTAACAACCAGAATAAGAACTTGAGCAAACGGCATAAAAATTGGAAGCAACTTTTGAAAAGCAATTTGACCCCCTGTATCAACGAGATATAGCCATTGAGCACCTTCAAGACGATTCTCCTTCCCTGAACACTGTCGCACTCCATCAAGAACTTTCTCTACTTCTTTACTCAACGAACTTTCCTTTTCATCTCCAGGTGCTTCATTTCTATCTCCAGGTGCTTCATTTCCATCTCCAGGTGCTCCGTCTCCATCTCCAGGTGCTCCGTCTCCATCTCCAGGTGCTCTGTCTCCATCGCCAGGTCCTTTGGTGACTTCATCATCAGTCTCATCAACTGCTTCATTTCTTCTGGCTGGTTTCTTTTCATCGATACCTTCCCTGACCTGATTTTCTACTGGAGAATTGGTCCATTTTTCTACTGCATCTTTTTTCAAAGCGTTTTTAACAATTTCTTCTAACTCTGTGACATCCAATAGCTTGTATCGTTTCCCAGTATCTCGTCTGTAGCAGTAGATACCAACTCTCGGCTCAGCAATACCGGTACTTGCTTTGACGTACTTTTCATCCAGTAGAAGTGATTTGAAACAGGTTTTACCAACACGGGCTTCTCCTTGAACTACAGCCTTGGTGAGATGACACATCACAATAGTCTTAAGTGCTTCACGATAATGACATAACTCTACAGAAAAAAATTGAAAACAAGTAACATTTATTATTATTATTATTATTATTATTATTGTTATTAAATGGTGGCAGAAAGACACAAAAAGCAAACAAACAAAAACAAAAAAAAACCAACAATTTTATTATTATTATTATTATTATTATTATTATTATTATTATCGTTATTGTTATTATAAAGACACAAAACAGACAAAAGGGGGACAAAAAGGGAAGATCCTGTACATAGAAAAAAAAAGAAACAAAATAACAGAAAAAGAGACTACAAAAACAAAGCTAAATAAAACCATCTACCACAGATGGAGGAGTGGTAGATCGACATAACCACATCTGTGCATTGAAGCGCCAGAGAGTTATAGAGAGTCTTTGTATGAGATGGCCAGAAACCTTTACAGGAGGAAGACCAAAACGGGTACCGAGATGAAAGCCGATCTTCTTCTTCTTCTTCTTATTATTATTATTATTATTATTATTATTATTTAATTAAAATATGATTATTATTAATTTAGCAAATTGGTGAAGAAACTGTCAATAAATTTTTATTTCATTATTCATAATATGCTCAATGACATGTGACAGCGAAAATGTTCTACCATTCACCAAATTTCAGTAAAAATACATGAAATATATTTATTGAGTGATAATAATATAATACCTGGAGAATCTTTATTAAAAATATTCTTTACTAAAAATAAATATAAAAAAGAAACTTCATGTAAGACAATACATAAATTAAATTATCAAAGCTTGTGTCATGTAAAACCACATAAGAATAGATACAATGTATTTATAATAACTTACTGATATAATCAGCTGCTGCTTTCTCACCAATACCCTCAAGAGCAGCACATAGAGAGACCATTGTTGGACCTCCTTCAGGAACAACATCATCAACTCTCTCTAACCATTTTACTAGACACTGCCTAAGACATCCTTGTTCATCTCCAGGATACTCAGCCTCAATAGCCTCCAGTGTATTATAATATAATCCTAAATCACTACCAAGATCATACCGTCTCCTCTGTGAGAAGCCAGCTTCATTCAATGTGTCAAGTACATACTGTAAATCATTAATGTCTAAGAGAGGACCTGTGGAGTAATAGAACATAAATTAATTATTAAAATCATAAGGACGGTTCACGGTATGTGTTAATGGTCAATTAAATTATTATTTATTAATATAATACTTATACTACTGAAGGTATGAATATTATTATATTAGTACCAGCATTGTGAGTAGTGTAATGGGTGCGGTTATTAATACTAGACCACACCAACTCTCATCTACCGTACTAACGGGTTATTAAGCGCCCTTCGTTGTTAAGCACCTAGTTCTTATTAGGCGCCTAGCTCAATGTAGCTCTTAGCATGGGTTTGTTAAGCGCAGTACAAAACAGTAAGAGTCCAAGCAGTAAGAGTTACAGCAGTAGGAGTCCAGACACTTTTTATAAGCGTTGTGGCCACGAACCAGACTGTCAAAAGATCATTCTTCACCACCCACCATTGTAAAATGTAAAGCCAGTAAAGTGATTAATTAATTATTATTGTAAACCACACCTACTGTAGTTATTAAGCGCTGAGTCATTATTAAGCGCCTGTTTTTCTGTCATTTTCTGCATAAGCGCCTACGCTTAATAACCCGTTAGTACGGTATCTTACTTCTCAATGTCCTTGCAATGAACAATGTATCAACTCCAACCACACCTTCCAATAGTATAGTATAATATAGTCTAAGAAGAGCATCAGGTGTAGCATGTACTGATATACTGTGGGAGGGAAGGTCAGGATAACCAGGTGTACCAACCTTATCAACATCACTTCTATATATCTATTGATACACACACACACACACATTAATTATATATATACATGATACAAGTACTTACTCTACAAGGTACTGTGTGAGGTTTAATAATCCATCCAGTGGTTGGTTCATGTTGTGGAGTATCAAACTTTAATTCAATATAATTGCCTCTTGATGTAAGTGTAGAGTCTTGCTGCGGGGCAAATGTAAAGGAGATATATCGATCTAACTCAGCTCTAGGGTGCTTCCTTTTCTGATACTGTAAATAAACACATTAATACACATCATGTACACAATTATACCTCATTATAATTATACTTACATCAAAGAGTGTGTCTCTATCTTTAGCTACAGTAAATATTGCTACATATTCATTTAAGCCTTTCTCCTCATAAAATAACCATCCTTCATATTCAGTATCCCTTCCTAATGTAAAGTGAAATAAAGTGAATCAAACACTAACACTTGATACTGACACAAGAGCTAACCTGATCCACCAGTGGCCATCTTGACAGTTCACTCCCACACCAGTGATTCCAGACCTATAGGGAAATTTCCCTAGATCTAGCGGGAAAATTGTCTGAATTTAGGGGAAGGAATTTCATAAATCATTGAAATCTAGGGAATTTTTGATATTTCCTGATTATAATGATATTCATAGGTATTTTAATGTATTCATAGGTATTTAATGATATTCATAAGTATTAACTACAAGCTCCACCCTATACACACTTTATTAACTTTAATATTAATTATGAATAATGGTTAATTAATAATTCATGTGAATTTTTAATAATTAACCTCTTAAAATTTTAGATTCTTATGGTCTTTTTGGGGGAAAATTTAGGGGAAATGAATAAATTTTTAGGGGTAATCTAGGGGGAAATTTTTGCAAAATTAGGGATTTCTAGGGAAATTTTTGGGACCATGGGGAAAAATTGAAATTTGGACCTGGAAGCACTGTCCCACACAACAAACATTTACTAATCACATGACACAAACTTATCACATGCACAACAACCAATAAAATAACATTAAACACTAAACACATTACAATAGACTCACATAACATCTCTTATTAAATAGATCTATAATACTAATAAATTATAATAATCTGGTTTAATGAATTCATTAATAATATCATCAATAGTACGAGATAGTTTCTTTAAGTGAGGACTCATCAACACTAATAATAATAATAATAATAATAATAATAATAATAATAATAATGAATATTAATATATTGTCACCAGCTGGACCACAAGCACTGGGATACTGTAGGAGAGAGAGAGAGAGAGAGAGATCAGACTAGAGAGAGAGATCAGACTAGAGAGAGAGAGAGAGAGAGAGAGAGAGGGAGGGAGGGAGGGAGGGAGGGATATTTTATTCAAAATACACTAGCTCATTATAATTACTTGTCCATCTTTTCTCAGTCCATCAAAGACTTCTATCGTTTCTTTTGAGTGACATATAAAATAAGAATTGCTTGAGACAACTCGACCATATTTTAAATAAATGTATGTCTTCCAACAGTGAAGAGAATGTCTCTCCATTAGAGTAAAGGTAAGCGGCCATTTCTCCAGTCACAGCAGCTCCACTCACTCCATCTTTATCCAGTACTGTAGTACCAAACATGACTCCTATTGCTTCTTCAAAAGCAAAGAGAACCTCCTCTCCTTTCTCAAGGAGGGTGTGGTCTAAGTTACCCATCCACTTGAACCCAGTAAGAGTTTCCTACAGACAAAAGAGGAGGAGAAAGGGGAGGAGCTACAATAAGAGACTGTCCCGCTAGCTACTAACTGAAAATTGGATCCCTTCAACTTTAGCTATTGATCATAATAATTTTGATGAAACTATACTGCATATTAAATGGACTTTAGAGCCTTTGAAATAATAACAAAAAAATAATACAAATTGTTAATAATTTTTAATGACTTACCATCAAAATTTTTGTTAATTTTCTTAAAATTTTCCATGGCCCACCAGCCCAACATGTTCCCAATCTCATTGCCAGTAAACACTCACCAGTTGCCCCTCCCTCCCTCATTAGTATTCCCCGGTTGTTTTTCCGCCAAGGCCAGTCTATCAGGATCAGGATCATTAGCAATAATAACTGAATGACCGTGAGCCTCAGCAGTAGATATTGAGAGATCCTATTAATAATAATAGTAATAATAATAATAATAATAATAATAATAATAATATTATTATTATTATTATTATTATTATTAATAGTAATAATGATAATATACATGTACATGTACATGTAAATATGTATCAGAAAATGTAATAAAAATTGGGCGTAATTTTGGAGACATTTTTGGAAAAAACCATGGGCTATATATACGTGTAGTACAGGAAATTTTTCAAATTTTGGCTTATTTTTAAAATGGTCGTAACTTGAAAAATAGAAGTCGGATTCAGCTCAAACTTTCTACACAGCATAAGTGCATCAATATGTATCAGAAAATATAATAAAAATTGGAAGTAAACTCGGAGCCATTTTTTGGAAAAACCATGGGCTATAAAAGTAAGGGGAATTTTTCAGATTTTGGCTCATTTTTAAAAATGGCCATAACTTGAAAAATTGAAGTTGAAATCAGCTCAAACTTTCTACATGGCATAAGGACATCAATATGTATCAGAAAATACAATAAAAATTGGAAGTAAATTCGGAGCCATTTTTTGGAAAAACCATGGGCTATAGTACAGGAAATTTTTTAGACTTTGGCTCATTTTTTAAAATGACTGTAACTTAAAAAAATAAACTAGGAATCAGCTCAAACTTTCGACACAGCATAAGTACGGGTGTACATCAATACTAATAATTATTATATCCATTTACCTCCTCCTTCATCTTCATCTTCTTTCTTTGATGGTTTCTCTTCTTCTAGCTGCAATGTAACTGTCTTCCTGTACTAGTAATGGAGTCACTGGGCTCCTCCCTCCAGTCTCTTAATAAACTAATAAATATAATTATTATTAATTAATACATACTATAATGACAGGGCATCCTCTTGTGCCGCTTCAATTCCACATTGTCCTAAAAATAATTTAAAACAATAATAACAATTTTATAAATTAATAGTAAATTTAATCCTTATAAATAATAATAACACAACTGTCCCTTTCCCTCAGCTAATCTACTAATACAATTATTATAACTCACTTCGTATGTCCTCAGCTCCAGCTCTTTGCCCCAATCTCTCTATAGCATTAGCTAGTGATACATAGTTAGCTCCTCCATTTTTATCCACACCATCAGCTCTTTGCAACCAGACAGCAAGACACTCCCTAAGAGCAGCCTCCCTATCATGAGTACATTGTAAGTTGGAGAGTGTTGGGTCCTGATAGAGTCCTAGTACTAGACCCAGTTCCTCCCTGCAGTCTCTGTTGAAATGAGCATCTGCAACAAATTCAACACTTTTTGAAGATCAGTGATATCAAGTGATTATTGAGTTGTAGCTACAATAAAAATATATTTAAGATCATTACATTTACATTTGTCAATAGTTCCCCATTCCCTCCACATTTACCAACTATACAGCATAAATCTAACAGTCAATAGTCCACACTGATACTAACTTACATTGTTTACTGACTGAAGAAGTGTGTCTTCTTGTATTAGTGTCTTTACTAGTAGCAGTAGCTCTGCCAGTACTACTGATCCATTTCTTGTATTTATCAGCTAAAGTATTAGCTCTGATGACTCCTAATGCTTTGATCAGTTGTCCTCTTGTAGCGTTAGGATCGAGGTTAGGATTGGTCTTCAACCAGAGGGCGTACATGTGCTGTAGTCTTTGGTGGGTCTCTCATGTTCTATGGCGGTTAGATCTTTCATATCCAGTTCCAGTAGTACCCCTAGTCTCAGCCACTCTGTACCAACGTCTACGTGAGTTAGGAGCTCGTTTAGTGCTGGCTTGTCCTCCATTGTCTCTGTGTACAAGAAGACGCCCCCATACTTCTTAATTGAATTATTAATGTGTGGGATTCGAGGTGGGTATGTTTTAAAAAGATACTGTTAGCATACCGGTACATGTAATGTACAAAGGAATTGAAAAAGAATTTAAAAACATGATCATGATAGCTAATAATTAAAAAATAAGGAACTGAGTGTCCAAAAATAAATCACTAGCAGGAGGAGGAGGATGGTGAGTATCCTATTGTGAACAGAAAAGGTTAACATCGAATAAAAAATTGTTAATTATTATAAAAGTATAAAAGTTAAAGTTCGTATCTGTCATTTGTAACTCTAGCCTTCACAACTTCTAAAAATAAAAGAATAATAATCATACATTATACATTATAGTGTTATAATTATGTATAACCAACATAAATGTATAATGTATAAGTACATGTGTATTTATAAATATAAAAAATCTAAATTTGATCAGAATGAGCTCAAACTTCTACGCAACATAAGTACATGTATAATAAAAATGAATAAATCTCTTCCTCCTGCTTACCTGCTGCTTTATATTCTTTAATGTTTTCAAGTGCTGTAGCTAATCTGTTCCAAGTTGCCCTTCCTCTTCTCAGCCATAATGACAGCATCTCCTGTAATTGTTGGTGAGCTGTTAGTCTATCAGCTTCAATAACTGATAAATCATTGTGTAATAGATTCAAACTGAGACTGAGATCAAGCCAGCGATGATCAGGAAAAAAACCTTTCCCTAACACATCAAGTATCTCTTGTAGATCAGTGACATCAAGACTGATATCTGATAGTATATATATTTATGACTGTACAAATACTGTTATTAATAATACCTTCATTAACTTTATTTCCAGACACACTATTCACAAGAAAACCAAAAACAACGACAAAAACAACAACAATACAAACAGCACCTCCTCCTATCACTTTCCAATTACAATAGCTACCTACAGTGACAGTAAGAATGGACTGGATATTAGTACTAGTCACACCTTTCTTGACTTTATGAGGAGGAACCTTCTCTCGCTGTTCACATTCCTGATCGTCAGGTTTGGGTGGAGCAAAGTTTGGTCTTTGTCGAACTATAAAGTAATGGAAATTGTTTTAGAAAAAAAAATTTGGGGTAATTTCGAAGCCAATTTTTGGAAAAAACCATAGGCTATAGTACAGGGATTTTTTAGATTTTGGCCCATTTTTTTAAAGGCCGTAACTTGAAAAAAATGAAGCTGGAATCAGCTCAAACTTTCTACACAGCACAAGTACATAAATATGTATCAGAAAATATAATAAAAATTGGGAGTGATTTCAAAGCCATTTTTGGAAAAACCATGGGTATGGCATAGTACAGGGATTTCTTCTAATAAATATAATCATTATTAATTAATACATACCAATGACAGGGGCTTTTATAAATTAATAGTAAATTTAATGAATATTAATGTATTTTACATTGTTTCGTAAAGAAACGGAAAAATGAAATGAGTGAGATGCACATTAACATAATAACAGACTGTTGCAACAAAAATCAAGATCAGGTCTACTTAACAACAGTGGTACCGTGACTACCGTAGGGCACCTCTTTTTTGAGGGCTATAAATTTCATGGATTTTTATTTCGCGGATTTAATTTTCACGAATTTATGCCGTCTGCCATCTTGTACTGTATTAATTTGATTTTCGCAAAAGTAATTTTTGCGAATCTTTAAAAAATCGCAAAATCCGCAAAATTTATAGCCCTCGAAAAAAAGGCACCCTACAGTATGCTAAATACAGGATGCATACAACAGCCACAATGGCATCAGCTAAAAAATAATATAATTAATTTTAACCTTCACTAGCAACACTAGCTCCACTTTGAAAAAGAGGAGGAGGATGGACAGTAGCAGAGTCTTCTCCTATTGTGAACAGAAAGAGGTTAACATTAATTGACTTATGTACATGTACATACCTAGTTCTTTAAGCATAACATTCCCTATCTCTTCTATTGCTCCGCCTTGTTGAGTCAATACATGACACACTTTAACTAAATATCGTGTTCCATCAAGAGAAGCTCCTGATTGACCCATGACATCAGTCATTACTCTATCAGCTTTAGTAGAAGCAGATACACTATCTACTGTCATTATATATTCTCTACTCCCTTGTGTTATTAGATCTTTGGCAAACAATGCTTTAGCAACATTGTTAACATTAGCTGATATTGCTTCGGACAGCGTAACTGAATATTTCTGTAGTATCTCCTTTGGATCTACAAGAGTATAGAAGAAAAATTAACACTATCATAGCAGTAAACATGCAGTGGTCATATCTTAGAAGGTTGTCCACTGTTAATGTGAACAGCAAAAAATTTAAAAGCTAGAAACAATAAGTATAGTGTACCTTTACAATTAAACTAGTATCAATGAATATTAATGTATTTTACTTTGTTTTGTAGGAGAAGGAGGAGTGTTTAGTGTATCAACTGTGGAATAATAATAATAATAATAATAATAATAATAATAATAATATAATAATAATAATAATAATAATAATAATAATAATAACTTACCACCAAGCCAGGACTCCCATGCTATCTTCATATGACATATTTCTTCCGTTTTAGTACATCTAAAGATCCACCGCTCCTCATTAACTGTTACTGTATGCTTCTCCCCCTTAGCCACACCTCCTCCAGCAGGGCCATGCTCACATGAACAATAAAACCGGATCTCAGGATTCCTATGACTCTCACTGAGATTGTGTTTCTTAGCTGCAGAAGTGATCGCTTCTCTTACATCTTTCTTTACACTGCATTCAATGCTCTGCTCCTCACAATGGATTTCAATGCAATTGACCTGTTCAACTAGAACAATATGATATGACTTCTGATGTTTCATTTTGATGTAATTTGAGAAATTGTCAATTTTTGTCGAAGTGATTTCGTAGCAAGGCTCAGAAAGGAGACGAGTAACAACAGAGCAGAAAAGGCCCATTGGAGTAGCCTTCTTGAAGTAAAACAGCAATGGCTCACGATCTTTAAAAGGATTGATAATTGTAACATCTCTTACTGGAAGGAGAGCTGGTATGAAATATTTATTATCTATTGGTGTAGCTATTGAGAGCTCCAGGAAAAGATTCAGCAAATTCCTGGCAATATCATCAACTTTTAGCTCTTTTTCGATACAACCAAGCTGATTTTTGCAAATCGCCTTAAACTTCGCTGCTGAAAGGATCCCCTTTATAACGTCATCATCTCCAGTGTATTTTCTTGCTTTGGAGTGAAGAACATGAACATGGCTGACCAACTCCTTGAGAATACTGATGAGACTGCCTATGTTAACAAACACCAGGTCACTGCAGGCTTTAGAATCATGATAATAAATGATACTGTTGATATGGTGCAAGAAATTAAGAGATTCCATCACTTCCTTTTCTTCAAGTTTTAAATCTTCCCCAAGACTTTTGCAGGTGGATAATCGCAACACACCACATCCCTCTTTTGCTGCAACGCGAAGTACGATATCAAAGAAGTAGTAATAAAATGGAATGTTGATTCCTTTATCATCTTTCGTTAAGATCTCATCTACATCATCCAACGAAATCTTCGTGTTCTTAAAATTTGTCTCGTTTCCTCTTTCTTCAACAGCTGCACTAGCAATACGACCATCAATTTCCCGTACACGAACTACACGATCAGCTTCAATTGACTCACAATCATCATTTCCTTTGATTATTTCTGCCAATTTTTCTGCTAATATGTTTTTAGACTCTGCTACATCACTGCATTCATCTCCATGTGTACCAATTGTCAGAACCTGCAATTTCTCTGGAACTAAATCTCGTAGAACTTCATGATCTTTATAGCTATCCCTGAAATGCTGCATGCCAGAAGCTATTGAAGAAATAATTTGCTTCAAAACTTCTTCGACCGTCAATCTGGATGGACTCCCATCACTGTGATCCTCACCTTCAATGTGCATCACTGCAGTGGAGCCACTAGACAACTCTTTTGAAATATTAACAACCAGAATAAGAACTTGAGCAAACGGCATAAAAATTGGAAGCAACTTTTGAAAAGCGATTTGACCTCCTGTATCAATGAGGTATAGCCATTGAGCACCTTCAAGACGATTCTCCTTCCCTGAACACTGTCGCACTCCATCAAGTACTTTCTCTACTTCTTGACTCAGTGAACTTTCCTTTTCATCTCCATGTGCTCCATCTCCATCGCCAGGTCCTTCGGTGGCTTCATATTCATCTACAAATCCATCGTCAGTCTCGTCAGCTGCGTCATTTCCTCTGGTCGGTTTCTTTTGATCGATACCTTCACTGACCTGATTTTCTAATGGAAAATTGATCAATTTTTCTGTTGCATCTTTTTTCAAAGCATTTTTAACAATTTCTTCTAACTCTGCAACATCCAATAACTTGTATCGTTTCCCAGTATCTCGTCTGTAGCAGTAGATACCAACTCTCGGCTCAGCAATACCGGTACTTGCTTTGACGTACTTTTCATCCAGTAGAAGTGACTTGAAACAGGTTTTACCAACACGAGCTTCTCCTTGAACTACTGCCTTAGTAAGATGACACGTCACGATAGTCTTAAGTGCTTCACGATAGTGACGTAACTCTACAGACAAAAATTAAAAACATTAATTATTATTATTATCATTATTATTATTATTATTTAATTTATTATTAATTTTGTAAATTGGTGAAGAAGCTGTCAATAAATTTTTATTTCATTATTCATAATATGCTCAATGACATGTGACAGCTAAAATGTTCCACCATTCACCAAATGTCAGTAAAAATACATGAAATATATTTATTGAGTGATAATAATATAATACCTGGAGAATCTTTATCAATAATCTTCTCTCCTAAAAATAAAATAAAAAAGAAACTTCATATAAGACAATACATAAAATCATATTATCAAAGTTTGTGTCATGTAAAACCACATATAAATAGATACAATATATTAAAATTATAATAATAATAATAACTTACTGATATAATCAGCTGCTCCTTTCTCAAGAATGTACTCAAGAGTAACACATAGAGAGAACATTCTTGGACCTCCTTTAATATCAACCCAATAAGCTCTCTCTAACCATTTTACTAGACACTGCCTAAGACATCCTTGATCATCTCCAGCACACTCATCTTTAATAGTCCTCAGTGTACTACGATATAATCCTAAAGCATTACCAAGATCATACCATTTCGTCTGTGAGAAGCCAGATTCATTCAATGTGTCAAGTACATACTGTAAATCATTAATGTCTAAGAGAGGACCTATGGAGTAATAGAACATAAATTAATTATTAAAATCATAAGGATGGTTCACGGTATGTGTCAAT